TATTTCCTTTGCTGCGCCTAGAATATTCGAATATTCTGTTTTTCGCGTGTTCCTTCTTAAAAATACCATCCCTCTTTTTTTTCACACTGTGGAAAATTCAAATCCGATCTATCGACGTTCAAATCTACTTGCATCTCTTTAAATCTCTAAATACATCCGATCGCTATCCACGAAGCTATCCAGAAACAAGAAGTTCTCCAAGTCTAAAAACGAAGGATAAAAAGAAAAAAGGAAAAAAAAGAGTTGATCGATACACCTTCCTCTTAGGGAGAACTCGATGCGTTCGATCGATCGACGACGAGCCATTTTCCCGGGTCGAGACACAGAAGGGGGAGGAAAAAAAAAAAATGAAGAAAGAAGAAGAGGAAGACAAACGTTCGAGGGAAAGAGAGAGAGAGGAAAAAAAAAAGAAAAGCGATAGTCGCGGTTCCATCGAGAGAGGAATCGAGGGATAGAAACGAAAATCGATTAATAGTGGCACGTTCCGGATTAACCGTGTTCCAATCCGGATGATCCGTGTGATCAGTCAACGCCTGATTCCGCGAATTGTTTAGGGATGGAACAAATATTGTCGTTGCTTGGCTATCGATCGCCCCTACGCGCCTGTTTCATCCACCTTTTTGCTCCCATTCGAGCGTTTTCCTCGCGCGAAATTAAACAGAAGAAGGAATATTTCGACAACGCGATCCTTTTCTTTCTTTTTTTTCTTTTTTCTCAGGGAAGAGAAATCGTTTACAAAAATTATGAAACCGTTGTGAATTTTTGAGGCAGAAAAAAAAAGAGAAAGAGAGAGAGAGAGAGAGAGAGAGAAGAAAAAAAGCGTAGAAGAAAATTGGAATTTGCATTCCATGAATATATTATTTCGCTCGAAATGAGGAAGGCGTTTTTTTTTTTTTTTGAAATTGCTTCGCTAGATTGGATTCCTGGTTTATTATTATTATTATTATTTTTTTTTTTTTTTTTTTGCGCGCGTAAAAGGTGGTTATTTTGATGGAGTTTCGGTGCAAAACAGTGTGATTATGTTACTGTAATTGAAAAAGCTGTTTGCGATGAAAGTGATGAAAGGGCGAAGTAATAAAAGAGGCTATTATGTGTATTTTTCATTAATTTTTAACGCATGGAACAAAGGAACGTTCTTTTATACGTCTTGAAAATATATTCACGTTATAACGGTAATAAAAATATAAAAATATTCTTCAACATTAGCCTCTGTGAATTATACACACTATTTACTCTTCAAAGTATTTTTGGATACTATTGGTATAATTTTGATAAACAAAATTGTAAATAAAAAAAATGTAAGTATCAAATTATAACGTGTACATTAATACATCAAAAATTATATTTGTATTTACAAAATGATTCGAACGAATAAAGAAATGCAAGATTAAAAAAAATTTTTATTTCTGATAATACTTCTTTTTTTTTTTTTTTTTTTTTTTTT